CTGTGGTTGAGACTTAACCAATCAAAACTGTTAACGACAACGGCTATGGGTGCCGAAATTATCCTTTTTTCCTATAAGTCATGATAATCTGATTACTCACTAGCCCCAGACGTCGGCATACTCGGATTTTGAACTCCAATCCGATATATCTGTGCGGTACAATTTGAAGGTGAGTTAGGTGTGCACTTTTGAAGAACTTATTTGTTACAAATAGGGGAGCTTTATCGAGCTGTCAAAAACGTACAGAAACATGATCGAGTTCATGTACGTACAATTCTAACAAATGTATGTAAATTTGTGTGTGGGAGGGTGTTGAAGGGGTCCAACGTGAAGGTCGTGGCAGGTCGCACCATCTTCCCCGTGCAGATGGTGGCTACTGCTAGCGTCATTAACAGACTCTCATCTCTTATTTCTGGGCCCTCTGAGTTAGGCTCTGCCTAGAAGCCATCCCTGGTCACCACGTGGATCGGCGAGCAAAATTAACCCTGCCAGCACCAGTCCCGAATTGCCCCATGGAGAAGTAAGGGTCTGCGATGTGTGTCCTTCCCGGCAACCAATATGCGCCGGGTAGCGGTGGTATTTATCATAGTAGGCGTAGGAAGTGAAAGGTACACATCTAGTTGCTCAATTGCATGGATACCATAACAACATTAGAAATAGTTTTCCGATTCCCGTATTCATTGCAGTCATACTAGGAGCCGCAATAACAGTGCCCATATTATTTGCAGTATTATTCCCTTGCCCTCATTAATCCTTTTGCTAGTAACATCAAATTATGACGATGTGGGCAGATAAGTGCGAAATTTGTTATTATGTCAGCAGAAATTGTCTTTTGAGGTTAATCTTTGCCGATGTTTTGTAATAAATGATGAACTATAAATTGGGTAGTCAAAAAACTCCCACAATTAATACAGGGGCAAAATTCAACCTGCCTCCATTTTCAAAAAGTGTGAATGAGAAAAATTGCTTAGATTAATGACATTGAGGTGTAGATTAATCTAATACTACAATAGCCACTCACAATGTGATAATTTATTTATTTATATACTGCCAGTTTACAGGCAATTTTAAAAATTGGGTTCATTGGTAAAGCACCCCTTGGGCGCCTTCCATAACCTCAAAGATAGGAAAAAACCTATAACAATCTCCCTTTTTTGCAGTCAGTATTGATTTTGTGTTAGTTTTGTGATTGCTCAATAGTGGGCGAAATAGGGATTTTGTTTCTGTTATGACCCGCGCCTGGTACTTTTAATTAACGCGAACGCCGAACCCAAGAGCCCGTGAGAGAGAGAGAGAGACAGGTAGAAAACCGGTTGGCTGGAGAGAGAGTTAACTCAGAAAAGCACGTTATAGTAAGTCAAGGCAAGCCAGAACAAGTCATTGGGTGTGTCAGGTACAACAAAATCAGAGCAACAAACGACTGTGAGCTAGGTCCAGCTCGCCAATCAGTTTTTTGCTACCAGCGTGATTGGCTGCGACTCGGCTTCTAAAATTCAGCTAAAATTTTGAATTATCGATTGACATGCCTGCAAGTTGTGTTTGCTGCATTACGTAGGTTGTTCTCCGTCAAATGACGCATCACCTTTTATTTGATCAAGGTCTCCAAGATCTTTGAGGCAGCGGGAAGTGCATTTATCGGCCTAAAGTCGTCAAAAGACGTCGATCGGCCGTTCTCGGGAATAGGCAGTATGTGTGATTCCTTCCATAACATAGGAAAGGTTTCGCTTTTATGGGCGTGATTGAATATCTTAGACAGAATAGACAGAAAAATATCATTCGCTCCAGCCTTTAAAAGGCTCACTGGGATGCCATCCGGTCTTGGACTGTGAGATTGACGAAAACAGCGAATGGCTACATTCACGTCCCAGAGTGTAAAAGTTGTGGTTTCGACGACCGCACCCGTCCAAGCCCGCATAGTCGGAATTGCAGCGACTGAGTTTTCACTTAAAGCTCTGGATTGCATCTCATTGAGGCTTTCAGCTTAGCATCAACTGTGTGGTTTCCTAAGGTGTCTTGAAGTATGGGGTGCTGCGCTTTTCTCTGCGCTTTGACTGTGCGCGAAAAGAGTTTCACAACTTTTAGCGTAGGGTTTTCAGCAAATTTGACCTCATCGGCTATCTGCTTTTCTTTGGAGAACGTTTTAGCCTGCTCAAATATCAGGTGGATCAAGGGCAGAATGAAAGTGTCCTTCTGTTGATGCAAACGGCGTGAGAGTCTCGTCAGCCTACGGCGGAAAGACAGGGTAATGTGCATTTCATCCTTGGCATGTATTATTTTCTTAAAGGGGACAAAACGGGAGATGAGTGTATCAGTACAAACATTCACATTCGAAGATTGGAAAACGTCAGACCAGTCGAGGGAGTTAAAATGCGTCAGTAACTCCGCTGATCGGATGTCATGGGAAAAACTATAGTTTTGGGAAAAGATTTCGTCCGCCTCCGGTTCTGGTTTAGTAACAACTGTGAGATGGTCTGAAGTCCCAAGTTTGTCTAAAGATGACACTGACAGTGTTTCATACCCTCCACGTAAAATTAAGTCGAGTATGTTTGATCCTCGGGTGGGAAAATCGAATACCTGAACCAACATGGCGATATCTACAGCCTCAAGTAAGTTCTCAAACTTTGGAGGACCCGAAGGCGGAAACCATTGCACTTCAGAAAGATTGAAGTCGCCTGCAATCAAACAGTACTTAAGATTCAAGTCGGCTGTGGCATGAAATGCCTGCGAGAGACAAAGATCATAGTCCCCACTGGCATTGGGTGGGCAATACACACAGCCAACGAGTAGGGAATAGTTATTCTTTAGAAAACTCGGACCCAGCAGCTCTCCGCTAAGGCCGTGAATTGTGGATAGTCTAGCGGCAGAAATGTTAGTGGTTGCAGCTTCCTCTGCCACGGCCATTGTTATGATCATTCCGAATACAAGCATAGCCTAGAATAGAGAGTTCGGAATCTGCTACAGAGGGCGATATCCTTGTCTCTGTTGACAAACCATGACTGGGTGGTGGACGAAAACCGGAGTCTGGAGCAGAGGCACCTTATTTAGCAGTGATCTGGCATTTTAAACGAAGAGTTTGAGGGGCACGTCTTTGGTTTCTGCGATGGGTCAGCTAGGCCACAATTGCGTGTATATCTTCTGAAGCCGATCTCGCATTGAGTGAGACTATACTGACCATATCCCTGAGATGCAGGTTACGCTCATCAGAATTTTTAAAAGCAGGAAAACTTGGTGGCGGAAAGGAAAACTGCAGGGGAAAAACAAAATGTGGAAAACAAATTGGCCCTGGTTTAAAATTTGTCCAGTAGTTATTGTTAGATGAACCATGATTATTGTAGAAAGGCAAATTTAGAGGGAGGATCCAAGCACAGGAAGGCTAGATTGTGGCGTGGGAAAAATAGGAGGGGCATATAAATAAGATTTTGAGGTATTGTAGCATAATTTGCCGGAGGATGTGCACGTGAAAAAGTGTTTGAAGTGCTATCAGTAATCACATTGCCGATTTTGACAAGTTACTTAGATTTACCAGGGGGTATTCTTGGGTCTACCCGATTTTACAGGTATCGTACGCGTGGTTGGCTTAGAAGGGGAAAGCTTTGGAGTTGCCATGGTTTCCCTCGAATCGTGAATAAGGTTAACGTGTGAAGATTCGGATGAAATTGCCTTTTTGCTCGCTTTGCTACCCCTGGACAAAGTAGCAACAAGGGTTTCAAAGTCTAGATCTGAGAAAGATTCTGTCGACATTGTGCTGATATCACTTTCTTCCAATTTACGATCTTCGCTTTTGTCAAATTCAACTTCCCTTTCGTCAAAAGTGCTACTGTGAGTGTTTTCACTTGTTGTAGTGGCTGAAGTGTTAGCAGTTATGACATTTCTGAATTTGGCAATCTGCTTATATTTACCAAGGATAATGATTTGTGTGTATAGTTCGCTCGTGGTCACTATTGTGCATGACATGAACTCTCCCCAAAATGCATAGTTGACGTAGTGCCTCGACATATCGCCTGAGTTTAATCACACTTGGATCGATATTACCCGCCCAATTTTACCCATCGTATGGAATCCATCAATACAGGACAGCAAGCCTACTGCCCAAGCAGGATTCCCTAAGCATTGGTGGATTCCATACAAGCGGAAATGTTGTGCGGGTAAAATCGACCCAAGTGTGATTCAACTCAAAGTGCTAGGTGTGGCATTTGTGGCTCAACTGGTAGAGTATTGGCTTCGTGTAAAGGCCGTCCCAACTATGCAGGTTCAAATCCCGCCGAAGGGAGCGCGCTTTTTCATAGTTGGGCCAACTAAAGTAAGCAAATCTGTCAAACCTCCTAAATAATTACAAATAAGCTTAACAAGCCCTCAGTCAGGAAAATGTAGACAGTTACATCCTGCATTGGCCTTTCAAGGTTAATTTGTCACATAGTTCACTTTGTGCTGTAATATATGTATATATATAGTCTGCGTTTGAATGTTTTTATTGATTGGGACATAAAAATCCTCTCAGGTATGTTATTCCACGGGTCCACAACCCGGTTAGAAAAAACAATACTTCGTCAAATCCAATCGTCCTGGACACATACCGTTTGAAGGGATGTCTCCGGAAATTAGACGTAGGGGCGAGTTGGACAAAATCGTCACAAGTAAGAACGAAGTCAAAGCCACGCATGATACGGAAAGTTTGTAGCAAATCTCCGCGTAACCGCCTATAACTCAGTGGATAGAGATTAAAATTATTTAGGTGGATCTGATACGATAGTGCACGTTGGCCTTTTTTTAATTATGTGGCTCGTTACTGCATCCTTTTAGGTACGTTAAAATCCTGCCGCGCTCACGGTCTCCAGGCTTGAATTGCGTATTTAAGACGTGGCCTTATTAAGGTACCGAAGCTTTTCGGGAAACAGTCTTCATCAAAAATTTTGAATGACCGTTTGATGGCGTACAACATAAAAATTGCAGCTTTAGCCGCCTTACAACATTGTGTGGGAGCTTTGAGTTTGTCTTTCATCCAGATGCCAAGCAGTAGACAGATTAAGCGCGAATCCCATTGCATCAGGCAGCTCGCCGACAATGAGAACAACGCCGCTGGTTACCTCCAGGGAAACTGTATGGCCAGGTGAAAGGCAAAGAAGATATATTAAGACAGATTTTTTAAAAGCTCTCCCTGGCTGGACGAACCCTGTAAAAGTAGTAGTTTATGCAGCTTACAACGTGTTAGGAACTGTTCTAA